ACAATTTATTCATCCAATCACCACATATTATTAAGACTATACGATTTGCCAGGTGTGCCAGGTACAACATCAGACCCAGGGTCCTGGGTGCTGAGTAGAGCAGGTGTGATTCCCTGAACCTGTGGAGCATTAGGCTTGTGAGAGACCATAGAGAATAGCCCAGCAGCAACTAAATAACAGAACTGCGGACATTGAGTACTATGAGTGTCAGAATGCCGAAAGGGAGAACGATGGTGCCTGTGGCTGGGGCCTCCTTTCCACAAGATGTTCAGAGAAAGGCATAAGACGTTTGAATGGAGACAGGAAGTCTGACAAACAGCAGCTGCTAAGGTCTGAGTGTTCTAAGCAGAGGGGACAGTGTGTCGTAGTCCCAGGAAAGAAATGGCTTTGTTTGTTCTTATAGACACAGCAGACAGAGGTGGACAGTGAAGATGTGACGCTGTGAGGCTCAGAGGCAGCAACTACCAGGAGTTTCTCAGGGCGCTGCACTTTCAGTCCTGAACCCAGGGACCTGCTAGATGAACAAGAACTATTAATCCTCTTGGGCTCAAGTTGAGTTTGGAAAGACTGACTTTGAAACCACCTGCACATTTTTTGACTCGTGCACAGAAGGGAGTATTAGAGGGACAAACTGCTTGACTGTTTGAATTCAATGGAATCATGTTTGTGTGTTCATGGGACAATCTCTGAAAAAAAAGGGAAAGGATGCCCAGAGAGCACCTTAGAAAGACGCGTAACACCTTGGAAGTATTAAATAGCAAAAGTTGAGAAAACAAGAAAATTAAATTGGGGATAATTTGGTCATTATTTCAGAGGAAGCAGACTAGAGTTTTGACTCAGAAACTCTGATCTTACTTTTCAAATAGCTATAGGTGTATGTGTGTGTGTGAGAGAGAGAGAGAGAGAGAGATAAACGAATGATTCCTCCTTCCTCCCATTATTCCTTCCTTCTTACTTTGTAATTTTTTTTTTTTATTGAATGGTAACTATGTACATTAATGCACTTCTAGGGTACAGTGAAATGTCTAATGGCATCTTTTCTTGTATTGAGCTTTATGCTTTAAAAATAAGCCCACATCACCTTATTGAATCCCTGGAATATTTATATCAAATGGGTATTCCACAAAGAATGAGACTATGAAAATTCAAATGACTTCTTAGGTGTCAGAGAATAATTTAATAGAAGGACTTGTGGGGCTGGAACTCAGATCCCCTAACTCCTAGACTAGAGTCCTTTATAACATCACGCTATGTTCTTAGCCAGTTCTATGACTGGATGGTGTAGACATTGGAGGTAAGCGTAAGGGAAGAAAATGTAAGTCTGGTAGCAGTTCTAGGAAATGTTAAAGTTATCTTCTAGAAATAGTCTACCACACATGGAGAGTCCGGCAGGCTCCCAAGGAGAGAAGGATTCCTCCTGTGTCTCATCTCCAGTCACAGGTCATCTTGGTGTAGCTGGGGTGAGCTGGCCCCGCCGCCCCGCCCTGGCCACCAAAGCACACGTGGCACAGCATGACATTTCCATTAGGGAAAATAATGTCTCTCATTCTGAACTTTACCTTTGCTGGACCAAAAGTTTTGAGACAGGGCAGTGACAAAAGCTACAAAGAGGAAGGTCCCTGCCGGACACAGTGTCTCACTCCTAGAATTCCAGCACTCTGGGTGGGATCAGAGGCAGACGGATTGCTTGAGCTTAGGAGTTTGAGATCACCTGGCAGATGAGTGAGACCCTGTCTCTAAAAAAAATAGCCTGGTGTTGAGGTGGATGCCTATAGACCCAGCTGCTTGGGAGGCTGACGGAAGAGGATCACTTGAGCTCAAGAGTCTGAGGTTGCTGTGAGCTGTGATGGCACAGCACTCTAACAAGGGCAGACTCTGTCTCCAAAAAAAGGGGGGGGGAGATCCCATAGAAAAGAGATAAGTAGAATAGTTTGTGTGCATATGCTACAATTTATTAATCCATTCATGGATCAATGGGCACTTGGGCTTCTTCCATGACTTAGCAATTATGAAGTGGGCTGCAATAAACATTCTGGTGCATATATCTTTGTTATAATGTGATTTTTGGTCTTCTGGATATATACCTAGTAGAGGAAATGCAGCATTGAGTAACAGACCTATTTTTTAGAGCCCTATGTGATCTCCAAACTTGTACACATGGAATATTATGAAGCCTTAAAAAATATGGAAACTTTACCTTGTATGTTTACATGGATGGAGCTGGAACATATTCTTCTTAGTAAAGTATCTTAAGAATGGAAGAAAAAGTTTCCAATGTACTCAGTTCTACTATGAAACCAATATATCATCACCCACACTTCCATGTGAAAGCTATAACCCAACTACAGCCCAAGATGAAGGGGGAAGAGGAGGGGGAGAAGAGGGGAGGAGGAAGGCTTTGTGGAGGGATAGTAATTGGTCGGACCACACCTATGGTACATTTTACAAGGGTACATGTCAAATCTACTAAGTGTAGAGTATAAATGTCTTAACACGATAATTAAGAAAGTTCAGTGAAAGCTATGTTAACCAGTTTGTTGTAAGTATTCCAAATTGTA